ATATGATTGAGGCTAGCTGGTTAGCTCAGTTGGTTAGAGCATGGTGCTAATAACACTAAGATCCAGGGTTCAATCCCTATACCGGCCAGCTGGAAAAAAAAAAAAAAAAAAAAAAGCTTGAATGGTAAAAAAAAAAATATATATATATATATATATATATATATATATATATATAAATTTACATGCAGTAAAAAATCACTTTTTGGTTTATAATTCTGATTTTTGACAAACACATAGAGTTGTGTATCCACCACTACAGTCAACATACTAACAGTGTCATCACCTTGAAAATTCCCTCAGGCTGCCCCTTTGTAGTCAGTCCTTCCTTCTACTCCAGCCTCTGGCAACCACTGATGTGTTCTTCATACCTATAGTTTTGCCTTTTTCAGAATGTCATATAAATGGAATCATACAGTATGCCTTTTGAGACTGGCTTCTTTCATTTACAATTATATATTTAAGATTCATTAGTGTAGTTACCTGTATTAGTAGTTTGTTCTTTTTTTTATTGCTGAGTAGTATTCCATGGCATAGATGACCACAGTTTATCCATTCACTGGTTGAAGGGAATTTGTGTTGTTTCCAATTTTGGGTGATTATGAATAAAATGACTATTAACTGGTTTTCATTTCTTTCAGGTAAATATCTAGGAGTTGGATTGCTGACTTATGTGGTAACTGTATGCTTAACTTTGTAAGAAACTGCCAAACTGTTTTCCAAAGTGGTTATACCGTTTTCACATTTCCACCAGCAATGTATGATATTTTATTAATGTATGAGAGAGTTCCAGTTGTTCCACATCCTCACCAGCACTTGGTATTATCATTAATATTTTAGTCACTCTAGTAAGTGTGTAGTGGTATCTCACTGTGATTTTAATTTGCATTTCCCTATGATTAACGATGTTTAGCATTTTTTTTTTTTTTAAAGATGACCGGTAAGGGGATCTTAACCCTTGGCTTGGTGTTGTCTGCACCACTCTCAGCCAGTGAGCCAACCAGCCATCCCTATACAGGATCCAAACCCGTGGCCTTGGTGCCATTAGCACCGCACTCTCCTGAATGAGCCACGGGCTGGCCCTATGTTTAGCATTTTTCATGTGCTTATTTATCATCTGTCTATCTTGTTTGGTGTAATGTCTTCTCCAACCTTTTGCCCATTTAAAAAATTGCATTTTTTGTTTTCTTACTGTTGCATTTTGAATGTTCTTTATATGTACTATGTGTATGTTCTGGATACAAATCCTTTATCAGATATGTGATTTACAAATATTTTTCCCCTGTCTGTGGCTTGTCTTTTTGTTCTTAACAGTGTCTTTCACAGAGCGACAGTTTTAATTTTGATGAAGTCCAATCTATCAATTTTTTCTTTTTTTTATTTTTTTATTTTTTAAAAGATGACCGGTAAGGGGATCTCAACCCTTGGCTTGGTGTTGTCAGCACCACGCTCAGCCATTGAGCAAACCGGCCATCCCTATATAGGATCCGAACCCGCAGCCTTGGTGTTATCAGCACTGCACTCTACCGAGTGAGCCACGGGCCGGCCCATATCAATTTTTTCTTTTATGAATTTTGCTTTTGGTGTTGTATATGAAAACTCTATGCCTAATCTAAGGTTATAAAGATTTTCTCCTGAAAGTTTTATAGTTTTACATTTTATATTTAAGTATATGGTACATTTCTGGTTAATTTTTGTCTGACACTTTCCTATTAAAATTTTTAAGCACAGAGAAAAATTGGAAGACAGAAAAGCTAACGTTTTGTCATATTTGTTTTATTTGTTCTGAACCATTTGAAAATAGTTGACATTATGACACTTCACAGCTAAATAAAGGTAGTCCGCACTTTGCATGGTAGTGTGGGATTGTAAAAATGACAGTGCAAAGCTGAAACTGTGCAAAGTGATCTTAATCAATGGGACTTTCAAAGATTTTTGTCAGCACAATAAAAACTCTCTTATTGTCAGTTATAAATGTATTCTTTCCCTCTTCTATCTGGGCTCCGTGTGGGGAATAAGCAAGTTGACAGAGTCCTTGCAATTCTAGGGAAGCCAGCAGGGGTGGCAACCCTTTTGCCTACTTCCCCCTTCTCCTGCCTTTTGAGGTCTGGCCTTTCATTGAACCCAGGACCCTAGAAGCTTTGTAAATGAGAAACTTATGTTCTTATTTTGTCGATAAGTAGTTAGCCATGAATCTTCAAGTGCCCTGGCGGCTGAAAATGTTCTAAAAATAGCTTGGTACCAAATATAATTGATTTAATCAATACAATTTGTTATTTTCACTGGCTTATAAAAAGGAACCTAAAATAAACTGAGATGCCTTGCAGGTCAGCAGCCTGCAAAGTTCTCCTGATCCCATAAAACAAATCGTGTCTTTCTTCATTTCCACCATCTCCCCTCAGGGTACTGGTCGACAACAGCTCTGTGGTTCTCAAACAGGGCTGTACATTGGGATCATTGAGAAGATTTAAAACATGTTGGGGGCCGGCCTGGTGGTGCACTCGGTAGAGTGCGGCGCTTGGGAGCGCAGCGGCGCTCCCACCGAGGGTTCAGATCCCATGTAGAGACCGATCTGCTCACTGGTTGAGTGCGGTGCGGGCGCGACACCGAGGGTTGTGATCCCGTTGCTGGTCGTGGTGCGGGCACAACACCGAGGGTTGCGATCCCATTACCGGTCATGAAAAAAGACAAAAAGGAAAAAAAAAAAACATGTTGGGCCTTAGATCCCATCTTCAGAGATTATGATTTAATTGGCCTGGAGTGAAGCCTGGGCAACAGGAGTTTTAGGATCTCCCCAAGAGATTCCAATGTGCATACAGGGCTCAGAACTACTGTTTTCTTGAGGGATCTCGGGCCTATCTTCTAGGGTTCTCTAAGCAGAGGCAATCCTGTCACCAAAATCCAGCGTGCTGGAAACTCTATAGGACAAGTAACTTGGTTTCTTCAACAAATATATTGCAAGAAAAATAGCAAAGAGAGAGAGAGAAACTTATAGATTTAGTATTAAAAATATACTTGAGAGACATCAACTAAATGCAACTCATGTACCTTATTTGGATCTTGATTTGAACAAACCAACTATAAAATAAACATTTGTGAGACAACTGGGAAAATTTGAACACTGACTAGGTTTTTAAAAATTGTGGTAAAATAGACAAAACAAATATATATATATAATTTGGCTGGTACAAGGATTGAACCCTGGACCTTGGTGTTATCAGCACACACTCTAACCAACTGAGCTAACTGGCCAGACTTGCTGTGTGGATATTGTGATATTAAGAAATTATTGTTAATTTATTTAGGTGTGATAAAGGTTTTATATTTATGTTTTAAAAAGAAGAGTACAGGGGCCGGCCCGTGGCTCACTCGGGAGAGTGCGGTGCTGATAACACCAAGGCCACGGGTTCGGATCCCACATAGGGATGGCCGGTTAGCTCACTGGCTGAGCGTGGTGCTGACAACACCAAGTCAAGGGTTAAGATCCCCTTACCGGTCATCTTTAAAATAAATAAATAAATAAATAAATAAAATAAAATAAAAAGAAGAGTACTTATTTTTTTAGAAATATACAGACTGAAATATTTATGGATAAAATGATATAAAGTCTGGCATTTTCTTTTCGAAATAAATGAAACAAGATTGGCCATGAGCTGGTAATTGTTGAAGGTGGGTAACAGAACTGTAGAATTCATTATACTATTTTCTACACTTCTGTGTGTGTTTGACATTTTCTTTAATTAAAAGCTTTTAAAAAGTAAGCTTTCTTTTGCTTTTTTTAAAAAGTGCTTTGCTGTTGGTTGATTTTTACTGTCCCTCTTCACTCCCCAATAATTTCCTGCCATACTTCTTCTAGTCTATGAGTTATTAGTTTTTTCTGTGATTACTTCACATATGTCCCTAACAATGTCACTCTGCCTGTTTCTGGCTTTTGTTGTTGTTTTTGTCAAATTGCCAGAACCATTAGGCACCTGGGATTGACACCCAGGAACCTCAGTTTCCCAAGCTTCCCACGACTATAATGGTTCTTCCCATTTTTCATGTACCTTTATTGGCTGGTTGATGAAGATGTTCTGAAGCACTGATAATATCATCGAAATAACCCAGCCGGTGGCTTGGTCTTGTTCAATTCCAAGCTACAAAGTGTTGTAAAAAAGGCTGAAGCTAGGCTAGTGACACCTAGAAGGAGCCAGCAGATATGTCACTCATTTGGGCAGGCCACTAGAGATGGGCATCTTATCTTCTTGTGGGCTCAGGATGAGGAAACTGGTTGCCTCCCTAAAGAACAAAAGTTGAAGGAAGAATCTCATACCTAATAGCTGAGAAAGAGGTTTAGAAAAATTCCAGGTGACAAAGAAAGCCCAGTGCAGTGCATTACCTGGATGGCCCTTGCTCTGTGGGAAGAATATGTGTTTCCAAGTGTTCCCAGAGTTTTTGAAGTTGGCTGGCTGCATCTAGGAAATCACAAGGCTGGTGAACCTGGGTGAGACCCAGTATGCCTAAGTGAGACTTTAGCTTCTGCAGAACTCTGAGAAGGTAATAGCAGAAATGATGATGGTTTTCGGGAACCACTGAAAGTATATTTTGGGTTGGCACGTTCTCAAGTGGAAGATTTCAATAAATAGCAATTAGTGGGAGAGATTAGCAATTCATTTTCTAACAATCAGGCTAAGTTTTCCCAGTACTAATGGAGATTGGGCCTGATACCTTATCTCTAAGGATGATGGTGTATTTGTAACAATTGTAAAATTGAGACTTTTAAAACTTCACTGAGCTTTTTCACCAGAACTGCAGTATATGTGACCTAGACTAGTAAGTGCTCAGGAGGCCCAAACGATATTTGAGAATCCATAAATCACTTAATCTCATCATGTCATAGAAGAAAAAGAATGACAAGTTTCAATAGATTTTAAAGCAGAAGGAATATGGGGGTCTGATGCAGAGAACATTTTTTTTTCTTAATCCTGTACTTTGTATCACCAGATAGATTGCCCAGAAGCCATCAGAGGGATTAAAGCTATCAGCTCTGTATTAGAGGCTAAGGAAATTAAAATAAGCAGAAGATTATATCATGTGTGTTGGTTATGCTGAGAGGGAAGAATGAGTGAGAAGGTAATAAATGTGCAAGGGAGTGGGAGGCAGATGAAAGATTAATTACTAAAATCTACTGACCTTTACCATTTGCCCTATGGGGTTCTGCCTTCTGATGACAGTCTTGACCCTCTAAGTGAGCATAAATGAGGCTGGATAAAAGATACACCTGCTTATTAAGGTCACAAGACTCCACAAAGATTGTTCACACTCTGAGAATAGGTATGTATTTCTCCTGAGCAGGAATCCCACAGTTTCCTTTAATTCCTAAATACAGAGCCAAGATGAGAAAAGTCAGTCTGTTTTGCACTAACCCAGCAAGTCAGAGGGGCATAAGCATAGTGTAAAGAATCTCAATTTTTCATTTCCTCACTATTTTTTTTCAGAAAGCAGTCTCACAGTAGCTTCAAAACCAGTTTTATGAGAGAATATAAAATTAAAGAAGGGACAGTTTGATCAAACATCAAAAACTAAAACAACTCCAGAGGAGTACATACTACACTCGCATTCAGTCCTAAAAATGCTTCAGGATCAGGACAAAAAGCTAGAGGCATGACTATCACAACTCAGGGGACAGGAATTAGGGAGAAGATATTAAGGGTAATAGGAGCCCGAGAGCCTTCTAGGAGATTCTTTCCACTGCTTTTTCCTACTACATGGGTAAGGAGAACGTGTAATTTACCTGTAAAATTTGATACCAAGCTTACCTCAACTACCTTTGTGAGAGAGAGAGGTTCAAAAGAAGCATCTGAGAGGCAGGAGGCCTGGATGGGAGAAAAGAGAGGCAGAGTTTCCCATGGTTGAATCAACAGGAAGAGCCGCCCAGTGACAAGACTGGTTGGGACAAGGATGATGGTAGTTTGGGTGTTGATAAGCAGTTCAGACCGTGTCACAGCAATTGGACCCCCTGAAAGAAAAGCATGGCATCAACCTTCATCCTGAGCAATTAAAATGATCGCAAAGGTTACAACTACTTATTTAGGAATTTAACCATGTTTATCTAGAGACAAAAGACTATCATGGCAGTAAAGATCCTGATGTGTTCCTAAGACTGCATCATTTATTAATGAATGAGAACAGTAAGAAAATTCGTTAGAGTATGTGGAGGAAAAACAAAGGCACATCATGATTCTGTTTCTAACCCTGAAAGTAAGGAGTGTGGAGTGTTGTTAAAGGATTACATACTACAAACAATACAAATCAGGGCTTTTCCATACTTTGCTCCTCTCTTGGCAGTGGTGTCATGTATCTTCCAGTATATAACACTGATGACCATGTTGCAGAGAAGCAGGTGAGCCACCTGTGCAGCAAGTGAGCCACTGGACTCTAGTAAACTGGTCCCAGGGATGATGAGTTTCAACTGAGAGCCACGGAAAATCTTGAGTGAATTTTCCTATAATCATGGAGGAAAACAGATGCCTAAAAGAGAAATTAGAAGAGGAAAAACATGAGATTTCATTCTGAAAGCGCTCTACCAAGAGACTGTGGCTTGCCCAGTGAGCTACACAGGAACTCCTTGGCCACTGTGCAACACCTTTAGGAACAAACTTTCAGGAAGTATGATTCGTTTGTTATTTTAGGATTAAAAGTTTTTGAGGATAAGAATAATATATATTGTATGAGAGTTTAAATTTAAAACTGTTGTTTTAGCTTTATAAGTGTTTTGATATATCTTTTATTCTTCAAAAGTTTACATTAGGCTTTTACTCAAAATGGTTTGGTAAATATTTACTTTGAGCAGCTTCTCTATTCCAAATGGTGGAGGAAGTATAAATAATATATAAAAAGAAAGTACCAAAAAGATTTGGCTGGGCTTAGAAGCAAAATAAACATCTCAGAGGAAGAGAAATTGAATGAGAAAACAAGGTGGTGAGTAAAATAGAAGCCATAGGGTTACTGAGCTCCAGTCTAGAATAAGGCAGTACACAGGTGGAAGTTTAACTCTTTTTTTTTTTTTTTTAAAGATGACCGGTAAGGGGATCTCAACCCTTGACTTGGTGTTGTCAGCACCACGCTCACCCAGTGAGCAAACCGGCCATCACTATATGGGATCCGAACCCGCGGCCTTGGTGTTATCAGCACCGCACTCTACCGAGTGAGCCACAGGCCGGCCCGGAAGTTTAACTCTTGTAGGGTAACTGGAACTCAAAGTGTTCCACAAAGGAGGAGGGAGTGGGGAGACAAAGCCTACTTCACTGCTAGAAGCCAGGGTTGAGACTGGAGCTCATGAAAAGATACTACAGAGCAAAATACTGCCATAGGGCTAAAATTTATAGATAAGAAGGTAAGGGAAAAAGGATAGCCTCATGACCAGGAATTTAGCCAAGAGATCTATTGGCTCATAAGAAGATCTGCAATAGCCCTCGTTTCATTAATTTCATTGAGGAATGGGAGCTCCAAAATGTTATATAATAAGGCCTAGTTCTAGATTAGAGATGGGAAGATTGGTTGAAAACAGCAGAAAACTAGTCAGGGATGGTGTAGGGGGTAGGGGGAGATGTAAAGGAGGTGGAGAGAGGGGGCGGTGGAAAGAGAGAGAGAGAGAGAATGAAAAAAGTCAGTAATTCAGTCCAGAAAAAGTTAATTTTATGGGAGAGTGTGACAAAGCGTTCAAAATAAGTATTTTGGGTTGCTCAAAGATACAAGTAAAGGAATAATATTTACTTAACAGGAATAGAAAATTATGAAAAAACACAGAAATAAACTAGAAATCTTGAAAATGAAAAATATGGAAATAAAAAAGTAATTAGGACATATGGATATAGTTGAAGAGAAAATTAGTGAACTAAAATGTAGTATTAAATAACTCACCCAGAATATACCACAGAGAAACAAAAAGAAAATAAATATGCAAGAGCTGTTTAAAAACATGGAAGATATTTGAGAGGCTCCACATACAGCAAGGGAAAGGCAGAGAAGCAATAATTTCAGAGGTGGTATTTGAAAATTTTTCAGAAGTAAAGACATGATTATACATATTAAAAGAACATTCTGAATGCCAAACAGGATAAAAAAGTAAATCTACAGTAAAAAGAATTATGGTAAAATTGGAACATCAATGGGCTGAGTCTGTGGCACACTCGGGAGAGTGCAGCGCTGGGAGCGCAGCAGTGCTCCCGCCGCGGGTTTGGATCCTATATGGGGATGACCGGTGCGCCCACAGCGCTCACTGGCTGAGCGCGGTGCGGCCGGTCTCAAAAAAAAAAAAAAAAAAAAAAAAATTGGAACATCAAGGATAAATCCC